ATAAAATCCTAAGTATAATGGATGCCTAAATTTGGGCATAGGCTACTTTGAAAAAATTATTGCTTGTTCATATAAGTTTTTGTTTTTTCATTTCTTAATTACAACTGCATATAATATTTAAAAAATTTTTCCATTGCAAAATAATATAAAGTGAAAATTTCTTAGAAAACTTCATAAGAACAACTTAGTCACCTCTTGAGCATATGTAAACAAATATTTATAGGTCAAATAAATATTTAATTTCTATCACTTCATTGAAAAAAATATGCATTTCTATCATAGTATTCAATTATATAAAAGGCTTAATGTATTTGTTTTCTTAGCCACCAATTGAGACCTCGGTGTACTATACTCATGAGATATTCTGTATTCTGTATTTCAAAATGTAGTAGAAATATTAAAATTATATTTTCTCAAGACATATTTTAATTAAGAGAGATGATAGATGAAATATAACCACACATGCAAATGACATTATCAAAATTTTGAAGCATGCATACACTTTAAGGCAATATAACCCAGAGGCATTAAAAATATAATATTATGTTAAAAATGCATAATCTTCATCATCAGTATTATTGTAAGTATACAAAAAAAAATTATAGATATTTTAAAATGATTTTTTTCTTTATCTTCCATGGTTGCACACATTGTTGCCCAATCATATGTATAAGAAAAAATTGGCAAAGGTGCAAGCAATGGAATAACATAGCTCACTATCACCTCCTCAATCTTTCAAGCTTGTTGAATGTTAACTTATGATACAAACTTTGTTAGCTAGCTGTTTATTAGCTCATACTATGTAAGGAACTATCGGGATTTTGTTTTTCTTAATTGGATGTCAATTGTAGCGTCTTATCTTCATAATCTCTAACAAGGATATATGAAAATTCGCCTTCATCCATCACCTAAGTTAACTTGTGGCCATGATTTAGTCACTCTAATCATAGATGCTACCCTTATCATCATGCGAAAAAAAGTTATTGCCACATTGATGAGTAGGTCCTATACAAATATTAATAGTTATGGAGAAGCCTTAGCCTGGCCTTATGGTGCATTAAGGGATGTTGGAGTATCGTCTCTCACTTTAACCCTTTGTCTCTTACATTTACATTAATTCATTATCATTATAACTAATCACTGAACTATTATGAATGGGCTTCCAAACAAGTTTATTTGTTTTGAATTAACTCAAATTGACAATGCCAGGATAAATTTGGCTCAACCACAATCATTTGATATAGCCTTATCTCGTAGTCATCAGCATGACATGATATAACACTCTCATTTAAAGCGAAGATAACATGAAGAATTATCCATAGATCCTAAATGATAAGACTAAATACATATCATTAAACGAAGTTTTCATTCGATTTCAAAGCCAACGTCGCACGACCGCACCGATCAAATCAACATTTCATTCAAAAACTCTTACATTTTCTTTTAAATATCAATAAATATTTATAGATAATACACATCAAGACAAATATAAAATGAAATAAGACATGAATATTTTCTACCAAATAAACTCTTTAATAGAAGTTTGAAATGCAACGGCTTTATGGAAAAGGGCGTTCGCTTTTGCGGGGGAAGCAGGGAGAGAGCGAGAGGGAGATGTGAGAGGCACGCAAAGGCGGCACGAAGGCCGAGGAAGCGGAAACAGGCGTGGATGGTGTGGGTCCCACATTCCACCCGCAGTGCTGGAGACATCGTATGCATAACGTTCCGTCAATGTCGCTTGTCTTGGCTTCCAGTACTCCGCGATTCGTGTCTTCTTAAGCTGATCCGGAGGCT